CTCCCCTCCGCCTCCCAAAGGCGCGGGATGACAGGCTGAGCCGCCGAGCCCGGCTTGGGACTGTAGTCCGTGGGGCACACCGGCGCCACGAGTTTGCTGGGGCTCTTTCTCTGACCCGTCACACGCTCACGAACCCTGGCATCTCACGCGTCTGGAAGCCCGAACGGATCGAGGTCGTCTTGCGTCTGTCAAATTTAAAGGAAGCCCCCATGCATTCTAAGAGGTCGCCGCCACCCCTGTGCGTCGTTCCTGCCGGCTTTGCCGAGGGGCCCCAGGCAGAGCCGCGTGGGCGCCAACTCTCCATCCGCCTTCCCAGGCAGTCAAGCCAAGCCCCGCCCTTCTCTGGGTTTCCCGCTCCCCCTGCCTGCCCGGCCCCCTCTCCGCGCGTCTCGGTGGCTTCTGTTCCCTGGTCTGTCACGATCCGTCCCGTTGGCGCTTTTCTCCTGATCAGGACCCCACACGGGCACTCCCGGGAAGGGAGTGGCAGTCGACTCATCTCCTGAGCCGGGCAAGGAAGAATGAAGGCAAGTATGTCGTATGACATTTTCAGCTCCGCCAAGTGGACTCACACGCAATCCAACCCAGATGCAGAGCTCAGACCCTGCGGGGGAAGAATGGACGGGGCCCACGGACAATATTGTTAGCGCTGCCAAATAGACTCAAACACAATCCAAGACAGAACAGAGACCCTGCCTGAAAGAGTGGGTGGCACCCAGCGTCTGCTCCGTTCCTAACCCTTGCCCTCAACACTCTGGCTCGGTGTGCTTGGCTGTGGGCAATCCCCTCGGGAGAAGCAACGGCGCGCTGGGGGCTGGTTGGGAGGTGGGGCCCTGGCTGACCTTTCAGAAGGACGGGCACAGAGAGCAGCTGTCTACTGTCCCTACTAGATGCCGAAGTCTGAGAGAGCAGTTCCCAGCCAGGTAGGGGGGAGTGAGACAACGGGGCTGAGAACACGCATGTCTTCTGACAGCAGAGAGAGAAACTGGTTGATGTGAAAGAAGGGAGAGAGAGAAACAGAACTAGAAAGGTTGTCCCCATTAAGGTGGGGAGACAGTAGAGGCTGAGGGTGCCAGAGATGAGGGTGACCTGCAACAGGCGAGGGTGGACAAGGACATCAAACGCAGGAAGGGGGTCTTCAGATTTCATAGCCCCGTGGCGTATTCTCTCTAAAATGTTCCTATGCCGTCTTTGCAGTGTTGGCGGTCAACATGGCTTCTCTTCTCTCCTGAGCTCCTGGAGGGTGGGATGCGAGTTTGGCTTGTTCTTGTTGTGGAGAAGGTGGCAAGCCCCGGGCATGCCCTGCTGTCTCCTGGTGGTTATGCACACCCAGAAGGACACTAGGTGCACTCGAATAAGTGTTGCCAGGTGAGTGAGCAGAGGGTGCATGACTTCGGTCTTGGAAAATGTGATGACAACTCTAACTCCAAGTCTAATAGGCCTGGACACTGTCTATCTCCGAATGTATTTAAATACAATGAAGTGTGATCATCTTAACTATCACCTTCTTTATCTCTTATCACCATGACCAAGGCTATGGTACACAGAATAAGCCATATACCATACATTAAATAAAGAACTAAATAGACACTGTAAATAGAATCCCCGTTCCTTGTGGAAAAATTAGAAAACACAGATGAGCAAAAAAGAAAAAAAAGTTTGAATTGGCTCGAATTCCTTTTAGACATGTGGATAGCTATAGCTAAAGGTATGTGTGTATACATTTGGGTACCATGATGTTTTTTGATAAACTGTTATTTTATTTAATCACACAACATGAATAACACTCCATATAATTAGATTGCAGTGAGATGTCATCAAATGTGGTTTGGAAGAAGCTATGTTGGAATAAATCCATACTGTGACTCATTTATTCTGTAACTTGGAAGTCAGATGTTTGGAACAAATGGTATCATTAGTCAGAAAGAGACTCGATTCTTCTTAAAAACTTGAGTAATCACCGAGTACAAAGCTCTTTTCTACGGAGCACAGTACAGGAAGAGCCATTTGAGAGGCAGGATGAGGGTAGAGCTTCTTTAATAGGATTTTTGCTATATTCCACAAGGGAATTTAGTAATGATTAATGAATTAATATTTGTAAAGCAATTCAAAAAACATTCAATTTTAAAATTATTATTATTTTAAAATTATTCATTATGCTACCTATAAATATACCTATAAATATACCTATAAATATCAGTTTAGAGTTTTGTCTTTTACGAAGAAGAAAAAATATCTTTTGGGTAGAAAAAATGTCTAATGTATTTTCTAGTTTTTAGTTTTAAAATCATATTCTACAAAAAAACCTAAGATATTCTAGAAAATGATTTAAATGTCAGAACTACAATACCTGGTTTATTATTCACAGCATAATTTTTTATTAAATACACTTTCAATCCCATTATCATTTTTAAAACTACTTAGCTGCAATCACGATGAGAATGCCCATTCCTTTGTCTTTATTCATGCCTTTCACATTTCAGTGCCCCAGAAAGAGGCTTTCTCTACTTTTTAAAATGGAAAATTCTGGGTTGCTCATTATATCTGAAAGATAGACGGTTGTGGTGGAAATGAACGATGAAAAACTCCACGACAGCAACCACTGGCTTCATTGTGATTTGCTGCACTGGGACAATGTCTGCTACTTTTGCCTTCACCAAGACCACATGGTTCCCTTGCTTGTGTCATTTACTCTCCCAAACTCTTCCTGGTGGTCTAGGCAGGTTAAGCACCTGAGTCATGAGGGTCCAGGTGGGTTAAGCATCTGAGCTTTGAGGGTTTGGGTGGGTTAGGCACTTAAACCTTGAGGGTTAGGGCATGTTAGGCACCTGAGCCTCGAGGATCTAGGGGGATTAGGCACCTGAGTCTTGAGAGTCTAGGTAGGTTAGGCCCCTGAGCCTTGAGGGCCTAGATGGGTTAAGCACCTGAACCTCAAAGGTCTATGTGGGTTAGGCACCTGAGCCTTGAAAACATATATATCTTTTTACCTGATGCATCATAATTGGGAAGTTTTTCTTCAAAAGTAGCACTAGACTAGAAAATTTTTTTTAAAAAGACTACAGAAAGATAGCAAAGAGATGTATTCTTTCAATTTCTTTTTGTGGAAATGAAGTGATATAATAGGTCCTGAGAAGACTTAATAGACACATGACATGAAAATATATTTTCTCCCAAAACCTTGCTTTCTGGAACTTTCTTTCCAAATAACAGAAGTTCTGGGAGGAAATAGGAAGCTGGGTACTATTTAAAAGGTCTGGGTTATTAAGAAACATATATGCATCTCCAGATAAGACATTTATCTTACAGAAGGACTGTCTTCTAACACAGGTTTTATTTTATTTTCTCCTTGTCAAAACAGAGGCATCAACACCCTATTCTGCAGGTGCCATCTGTTTTTGGTTGACCTTAATTTTTGGAATGACTGCTTTTCTTTAAATCTTTTAAGCTAAGGCTAAACATCATTTGACAAGAAATGTTTGGGTTAGTTTGTGAACAAGAAATTAAATGTTCTGATTCCAAACATGGAATTACATTTCAGTAATGCTTAGTTTATTTCATATTTTAACAAACTGACTTATTAACACTCCCAGGATAAATTCTATTTTATATTTGGCCCTTTAAAGACCAACAGCATACAGTGACTTATTTGTTTTAATTCTATTTCGTTGTAGCATTTCATAAAACAATGTATGAGATGTATTATAGAGGTAAATTCTGGCTCATTAATGATGAAAAACTGATTATACATTTAAAAAATATAACCTAAAAGTTAGAATTTATTATGGTTTTTCATTTTAATTGATAAAGTTTACTTCTTTGTTAATGGAAATACTGATTTTTGTCTGATTATAAATATTTTGCAAATGATTACTTTAAAAAGTTGATTCCCAGCCCTTTTAATTCTAGTAGAGTGGGGGTCTGGGGCCCAGGTCTAATAATATCCTCACATGATTCTTAGGAGCCAGCAGGGGTTGGAAACACTAGACCGGGAATGGGTCTCGACTTCTGGGACCTACTCAATTAGTTATCCAGGAAAGTTTTCAAATAATGCTGATGCCATGCTTCCCTGAAGACCAATTAATTAAAATTGGTAAAATTAAAGTAGAAATATCAGAGTAAAAATTCTCCTTTGGCCAGCAGCCCTTGTAGTCATCACCTTGGTAAGTGTCTATCTCCACTACTAGGGATGGTCCAGGCAGGCAGCCAGACGTTGAGAAGCAGGACCGAAGAGCACCTATCTCCACCTCGCACCCTCTATTCTGCACCTGGTCCTTGTCAAAGCACACACTCATCTGAGTTAATCTTGGCCCCACTCCTTTGCCCACATGTACTTTGCCTCTTGTTCGCCAGCCATCGCCAGTATGAGCTTGGCACTCTAAGAGCGTCATTTTATTGTGTGACCACAGCGGCACCTAATATGGTGCCAACCACACAGTGGTGGCCAACTAATGCTTGGTGATGATGAATATAACAGACAAAGAAAATGACCAGGGAACTATCATCCCTTGATAAATAGGGAAGGAGAGGTCATGAGAGAGGACAGAGAAAAGGCAGAAACTCTTCATGTCGTTTTCGTTTTTGCCTTTTATAGAAATGGTCAGATGTGAACACTTGGCGAGAGCCCGTCTCAGCTGTGAGAGGAGAGTGGATGGCCAACTAGGATAGGCGAAGAGGTAATTACAGAGTACCTGAAACGTCTGTGTGCAGTGGAACCAGCAGAGCCAGATGACTGGCAGAGCAATGCAGCAGAAGAGAGTTGGATGGATACTTGGAAAACCCAGTCCCAGTCTCCTCTCAGCTCACCTTGCTTACCCAGTGGGTGACCTTGGGAAAAGAAGTCTCTGATCCTGGCTCTTCATATTTGCAGAACAAAGATGATATTACCTTCTTTATAGAACTGTTCTACGGAGTAAGTGAAATAAATCACAAAGTACTCTTTGGACCTAGGGCATATTTAATGGTTGCTGGTGTCCGTGCACAACTGACGGGCTTTGGTTTTGGGAAGTTATGAAGGACACTTCTCTGCAAGACAGCAAACAGAGCATCCACTTATGCCGGTGTTTGGGAAGCTGGTGGAAGACATCATTGAGCAATTAATTAGCAATAGTTTAAGAGAACCAAGTAGTTGGGAAGCGACCCATATGACTTTAAGATCAAATGATGCCTTTCTAATTTTACTACCCTCTTAAATTGTGGGACAGCCTCCAAATATAAGGGAATGACAGGTGTCATCCTGCATGATGGCCAAGTCATCAGTGCAACCTGAGTTGTTCGAAACCCCCAGTATCATCTATTTGTTTTTGGCATGGCATGCATGATTACATTCATTAACTGGTAATATACCGGGTTGTGTGCTCTATACTACAGAGTGATGGGGTCAGCAATCAGCTCAAAGTTTTCATAGAATGTGGATCAATTTGACAGGATTTTCTAAAAATTTATTTGGCTACACCACTGACTCTGAAATGGTGGTTTTCAGTAACAGTATCAAGAGCAAAGGCAATCAGGCCGTTTGTAATCATTTTCTTATGACTGATAGCACTGGAATGGCTGTGTCACTCTTTTACAAAATGTCAAAGTGCAGCAACAGGAGAAGATATCTTCCCTGTCTGTAACAACCCACAGACTCGTGTACCCTGGAGTATTTCTCCGAAGGTTTGTTTGCTAATCACTAATAGCAGAGTTATGCAAACCCTTAGGCCCCTTTGCAGACTCACAATGGAAGCTCTGAGGTAGAGCTCAAAATGTGTTTTCTTTTCAAACACTTTGGAGACTCTACAGCTCATGGAGATTCGAGTTCTGTGACAGTAATCATATTCTTCAATATATAGCAATCATTCTTGTTATGAATATGGCTCAGAGGATTGAGAATATCTGTAAACAGCTGAGTCTAAATGTGAAGGGATAGTTACTATTCTAGAAAACTGAAATACAAATAAGAGATTAAAAAAATTTGGGTAGTTGTTTGAAAACAAAGAATTTCAATGGTGAAAGCAAGGAGATGCAGTTGGAAACCAAAGCTTTGTGGTGTCAGCATAGCCATCCCCTTGGATGGGGACTTTCTATGTCACATCCTAAAAGGGTCTTCACTCTTCTCTAGTTTTTTTTTTTTTTTTTTCCTTCAGGCAGAGAATGTTGCAGGTTAATGAAGCAACTAGCTATACTCCCCAGGCCCCAATAGTTCCCATCCTAGGCTGCACATAAGAATCTCCTGGAACAAGGTTTTAAAATATGAATTCCCAGGTCTATTACAAATTAATTTAATCAGAATTTCTGCAGGTGGGACTGAGGCATTGGCATTTTTTAGATGCCTCCATGTGATTCTAGGTTTGAGATCCGAGACTGAGAACCAGTGTATGGAGGAGGGGTGCAGGAGACAAGGAAGAAGGAGAACGGAACACACTTTCTTACTCTAGTATGTTTGTGTCCAAAACCAGAATTTTACAGTCAGTTTAGACAAGGAAGCCTGGTCTAATGATGTTGCTTATCACAACCAGGTGACTGAAAAGATTTTGTGTTTGGAATACTCTTACACATATCTGAATCCTCCTCCAACTTTATTGACCTTGCCAAGCTTAAGGTTGAATAGTTACAATTTCAGAAGTCCTCATGCCAACCTTCCTATTTCTGTATTGATTATTTGATCTGCCTGAAGCCTGAGATGTGAAGATGTTTCTTAGGCATCAACTCATTCTTTGTTGATCCATCAGGAGGGGCCTATGCAGATACACATGCACTAGTTACCAATATTGTCATTTTTGTACTTGAGGTTGGGACCAGGTACCCAAGGGAAGTGGTGGTTCTTACTGAAAAGTTTTGTAATTCTTGATGTGGCCATAACTATGTCTGCAGGAGAGTTGGTTTTGTTTCCTCATTATTGATTGGTTGATTATTTGGTCATTCACCAACTTTATATTAATCATCTGAACTCTTCCAGACATTTTACTCAACACTGAGTCAGTGAATCAAGATGTCATCCCTAATTCTTGTCTGGAAAACACTTCATTGTTACTTCTTTTTCTTCCTCCTCTGTTTTCCCTCCTTCTACACAAACCTGCCTCTATTAATTGTGGGACTTGGGGCAAGAATACCTACTACACAAGGTCTGACAATTAAGTTTGTGAACTTGCCATTGTGCACTGACATTTGCAGCACTGTACAAACGACTAAGTAAGGTCTCATAACCTTGTTATATCAGTGTCTCACAACTGTATTCATGTCAAAGTGTGGTGGTGTCTTGCTGAGTGGCATTCATTATTGTTGCATGTTTTTGTGTGTCGTCACAAGAATGTCAGGGCTTGAATTAGAGCAATGAATAAGCATAACATTTCTTGTTAACTTGACAAGAGTGGTAGTGAAATCAGGGACATGTTAGTTCAAGTTTATGAGGATAATTCCATGAAGAAAATGGCAGTGTACAGATGGATTAAATGTTTTTCTGAGGGGAGAGAAAGCATCACTGATGAAGTGAGGTCAGGACTGCCAGTAATGAGCAGAACTGTTGAAAACGCTGGAAATATTTGTTGAATTGTGTGTCTAAATCATTGACTGTGAGAAGCATAGCAGACCAAATAAACATTAATAGAGAAACAGGAAAATCTTAACTGAAAATCTTGGCATGAGAAAGTTGTTTGCAAAATGGTCCTGAAGATGTTCTTGCATTATGACAATGCACCAGCTCACACAGCACTGTCTGTGAGGGAGTTTTTAGCCAGTAAACAAATAACTGTGTTGGAACATCCTCCCTATTCATCTTTTCTAGCCCCCAGTGACTTTTTTCTTAACCCAAAGATAGAGGAAATATTGGAAAGAAGACATTTTGATGACATTCATGACATTAAAAGTTATATGATGACACCTCTGATGGCCATTCCAGAAAAAGAGTTCCAAAATTGCTTTAATGGGTGGACTAGGCATTGGCATCAGTGCATAGCTTCCCAGAGGGAGTACTTTGAAAGTGACCATAGTGATATTCCACAATATGTAGCACTTTTTCTAAGATGAGTTTGTGAACTTAATTGTCAGTCCTCGTATGTCTAAGTATTTAAGAGTTATAAAACAAGCTTGCAAACTGTTAAATAAAGTATGTTCTATCCTCCTACCTTGACAGATATACTCTTATAGCAAGCCAGAAGCTAGATTCAAATTTAGAAATCTCAGATTCCTCTGAATCTTGCATTAGAATATGGTGGTTCTGGGAGAATCCACACCTAGTGCTCCAAATCCAGCTTGTCCTTTATATTTCCTTGCTTCTGACTCCTCCAACTCCCAAAGGGGCCACACAGACACACAGAGGAGTTTGCATGTCTAAGCTCTGTCCATGACCACTCCCCAGTTCAGTTAAACAGCTGTTCCCTGGTAACCCCTGGACATATATGCGCTGACTTGGCTGGCTCCTGGGTTAGGAAATCCTGGGAGGGGACTGCAAAGATCCTGGAAATGGCTTGGTATCATTTGAGCAGGGAATCCTAAGCTCCTTCACTCCCATAGCACGGTCAGGGGTGGAGATGGGTGCAGATTCCTGGTGGGCATGTCCTCCTGGTCCCAAGAGGAAGAATGCAGCTACGGGGGGGGGGGCCCATCTTAATTATGGCATCCTCTAAAGTTGGGGTGCCTCTTGCCTGGTTCTACTTTTCCTTGCTTATTTTGCTAACTTGACATTTATTGAGCACCCACAAAGTGCAGGGAATAGTAGATACTACATGTGTTGGAGTAGGAAGAGGAGGAATGAGGAAGAGATGAAGACTTCTCCTCTCCTAGTCTCACTTGGCTTCTCCAAGCCCTTGAAGACTGGCATTTCTTGAACCATTCCCCTGAAGGTATCTGTGTCCAGTCTCTGGCATGAAGATGAGAGAGGAAGGTTGGATGATCACATTTCTGGTCTAGGACTTTTATGGTGATTTAGGACATTACTAACCAGAGCCCATCAGCATCACACAGAGGGGCAGAACAGGTCGAGTGAGATTTAACTGTGACACGTCACAAGCATCACCTGTAGATAGGAGTTGGGCTTTATATGGAGATATCCTTTCTAATCTGGAGATCCTTTTGGATCCACTTCAGATTATGCTGCAATAAATACAAATACATTCATCTGTGTCAAAATCTAATTTTATTCTACTTTTTCCTTGGTGATGATAGAGGGGTCTCAAAGGCAGGTTGACTTCTGGACCCAATAATATATATGTAAATGCATACTACAGTAGAAGTCCAATGCCGTGTGGAGAGTGGGGAATCATAGCCAAGGACTGTAACTCAGTTACATAGAACACACACTGCACTTTCCAGGAAATGGGGGCTTCTGATGGAGTTCTAGGAGAGCTATTAGGGTCCTGCTGTGCTTCTTGAAGAAGAGGAAGGCTACCTGGTAGTAAACCCTCTAGGTAAACCTGAAATAGGGAAAGATACTGAGGAAAAATACTGGTAAGTGCTCCAGAAAGAAGTGCACTTTAAGAACAAGGAAAGGCAGTTGGCAGTGAAAATCCTTGAAAAATTTGTTGTGGGCTTTTGAGTGAGGAAAAAGCAGGAGGTAAGTGGCCTTTCAGAACCAAATCTTTGTGTAAATTGGATAGGAGATCTTTGGGACTGTGTGTCTTGATTGCTTAACTTGGGTAATTGCACAGAGGGAGAACTTCCTGGGTATTTGTTGTTGAATTATTTAGCTTATCCTGCTGATTGAAAAATATCTAAACCAACACAAAATTGACTTTAAATTGTTTTCATATTAATATCAATGAGAATATTTTTAAAGTTTACTGTGATTTCCTTTAAATACATTTCAACTCTTTCCATAAAAATGGCTCTTTTGGTAATTGAATTAGGCAATTTGATTAAAATGACTAACATTCATATACTCAAGATAGTAAAAAAGTTCATGAGTTTCATAAAAAGCCTACTTGTACAGTGCATCTTGGAAATCATTAGCAAATGTTCTGATGATCAAATAATAAATACATAAGTGGATTATGGAAACATAAATGCAAACTCATCTAAATTTAATTGACTTTAGATAAAATCTACATATATGTTTGAATATTGAATTTTAATGATGTAAATATTTTAGGGGAAAAGCAGGAGTTTGAGAATAAACATAATAAATTAATTATAAGTTTCTTGGAAGTTGTCCCCAGGTAGCCTTTATTTTTTACTCTTGGCTTTTGGTAGAGCATTGCATAAAAAATAACATTGTAAATCTCTCTCTCTCTTTCACTGTGTTTTCTTTAAACATTTTTTTTCCTCTGAGGAGATAAAATCACTTTAGAATGTATACTTCTACTTGCTGAATCCTCTGGGACTTAGGGCTGGAGGGTTTCGAAGGTAGCCATGGATGGTTCTAGA